TTACTTTGTTCGAGCAAAACCCTTTCATCCGTAAAAGAAATTAACATGTATTCAATCAAGATTGACAATTCTATAATATATTTTAACATCCCCTCAATCTTGACCTGAAATAAATTATAAATCTTTCATTCTACCAAAATCGCATAAAAATTATGTCGAGAGCTCAATGACTTGGTGAAAAACAATAATTTGTATGGGAGACTTATCATCACAAAAACAAGTAAATAGAGTCAATAACCGGTTTCTAACCTCATAAAATGTTTATAAACGATATAGATCCACAAGTCATAGTAGAGGATCAAGATACGACCGAACGCTTCTTACTTTTCCAAGAAACTAACAAATTTCATCTAAATAAACAATAATCAGTAACTAAATAGTGAGAAGTTACAAACTTACCTCCATTAAGAACCTACATCTCCTTCAACATTAAACTTTAGATTTAGAAGTACTCATCTTTTTTACTTGGAGTCAATTTCAAATATCTTGAAACTCAGAATATCTCAACTGAAAAAGCCAAATAGAATCATAATTAAGGGGAAATACATAATTGTATGAAGACAAATCCGTACAGTAATAATATGGATTTTGAGTCTATGGCATGGCTCTAACTAGAGGGATGATGAGGGTTAATTAATTTTATTCTTGTGTTTTTTTTGCTTAAATACAATCCAAACTTGAATCCATGCATTTCAAGGTGGTAGAATGAAAAGTTGACGGGAAAAAAAACCCAGATTGTTCTCATTTGAAAGACACTTAATGAAGTTGATTAAAAGTCATTAAGATCAGAAATCAAATTCAAAATTTATAATATTCAAAATATAGACACATAATTCGAAATTTTCAACAAATAGTAGAGACAGAAAAATGCAACTGACTCATAAATAATATATTTCTAGTCAGTTTACACATAATAATACCAAGAGATTTATCATTTCTTATCTTAAATATATTGTAAAGGACCTGTATTTATGTTCTAAGAATTTATTAATATATAAAAATATTACATATTATTTTTTTACGTATATATACTGCAAGACATGGAAGGTTGAGTTTAATAAATAACTAACAAGCAATCAATTAAATATCAGAAATACATGATACCTAATAAATTACATCATCTATACTATCTTATTAAGCAAATTTAACAAAAGTCTTAAAGTCTTAAAATTTTAAATGACCAAAATACCCTTTATACTCACTTTTTCACCCCCTTCTCTTCTCACATACACTCATCCTCTCACATACACTCACCCTCACGATTTTTTTTTAAATTATAATTTTAAATTTACACTTTACACCCCTATAATTAATTAATTAATTTACTTTATTTCMTTTACTTTTAAATGTTTCATTTTAAACCTTTATCAAATTAACATACATAATCGTATATCAATTAAAACATGTTTAAAAATACATTTTTATTTTAACAAGTTACACCATTATAATCG